GGTGGGCCGCGCGACTGCAGTGTGCCACGCGGCAGACGTGGGGTTGGAGACATTCCCTGCATCATCCCGGCGTTGTACTGCTTAGGAGGCCGTGTTTCAAACGCGGCCTCGCATAAACGAACCGTGGGACTTACCAGTGGCAGCGTTGCGGTACAAATGGCTCCGGCGCTGAGATGACACCGCCAGTGTCACTGGCGTGACGTAGCGCGGGTGTGTGTTTCGCTTGCCGTCCCGTCCCCGGTATACTGCGTCCGCAGTCATGCCTCCTACACGATCATAAGGCATGACTTTTTGTGCTGGGCTGACAGACTACTGTCATTCGTTACAGCGAGCGTTGCGTCACTGTCCCCCCCCCCCCCCCCCCCCGGCTCATCATCTCCCTGTCCGCTCGGGCCTCGGCGGTCTCCCCGAGCACGTTCATCACCTTAGCTATTCTTCATGGGCTCGTTGGCCGCATCGCCATCTCTCACAGATCTTGCAATTCCACTGCCCCCCCCCCCCCCTCCCCCCTCCCCCGGCCCCTCCCTGCCCCGCCCGGCGCCCATCTCCTAGTCTGCCCGGCGCTCCCGCAGGCTATCCTAGGGCTGCCGGACCAGACCCCCTCTCCCCCCCCCGTCTCCCGGGGGAGGGGGCGGCGGCCGTCTCATGACGCCGCGTAATGAAATACACGATCAGCAAGCGTAATGCGCGCCGGCCTGGTCTGATCTGTCGGCCGCCGCCGGCGTACACAGCCCCGCCCGGCCGTCGGCCCCAGCCGGAGGCGCAATCTGGGCCAGCCATCGGACGACCTCCCGGGGGCCACCTCCCGAGCACGGTCTGCTCGGGGAACAGGCCATCTGGGGAGGGCTGGGGGTACATTATGCGCGGAGTGAGAGGTGTATGTCATTCGAGTGGGCTGCGCGCTGGGGGTAGAAGTGGGTCGTGCGCTAAACCATTTCGCGAAGTATCCCGATGACGCTGTGAACTGTACGTAAGCCTCTCGCTTCGAGGAAAAGACGCCGGGAAAGTTTCGCTCAGTGTCACGCAAGCCACGGCGGGCGCGAGGCGCCATGCGCGTGAGTTTGGCACATCGAAGACCGCCGCAGGCGCGGCAGATTTGTGGGCGCCGCTGCAGGGCGCTCGCTCCCCGCAGGCGGCTGGCCGACCACCCGGTCCGCCTTTACAGTGTGACCTTGTCTCGTCCGCAGGCTGACCTGAGACGACACCTGGAGGAGGTGACCCGGGAGCTGGAGGAGCTGACCTGGGCGCAGGTCAGGTCGCACCTGCTGGCGCATGGCTCGCCCCCGGCCGAGGCAGAGAGCCGCTGCGCGCAGATCCTGACCATCTGGGAGGAGGTCAAACGCTCGATGGCGCCAGGTACGCCGGAGGGGCGGCGCTCCTGCCCTCGCTCGCCGGTCGCAGATGTCTCGCATGAAGATGCTAGTGAACGTTTGCTCTGGTGTTTGTCTGGCTCCGTTTCAAGGGCTTACCAGGTACGGGATTGGCTGGCTAATGCTTTCGAAGCCCATCGGGCCCTGTGCCGCCCGGCTGTCTCACGCTGTAAGGTGACCCAGTGCTAACACAGTCCAGTTTTCCTGTCCGCGGTAACGCTATTTCCAACCTAGCTAACGCTGCGTTTAACTATGTTTTTAGTTTTTCAGGCAATCTCGTCGGTATGGGGTGTGGGGAGGAAAGGGCGTAATGGCAACACTGTATTGTATGTTATTTGATCTGACTGTCTTGTATGGCGTTGTGAGACCGGCGCGTCCGATGTTGACTCACACATTTGTTTATTGTACCCGTCGCAATGACATAGATGTGCCGAAAAGACAGTAGGATGTGGGGGTAAGGGAAAGGTAGTAAGGAATAGGGGCTTAGACTTAGGTAAGTTAGAGTTTAGGATAAGTATGTGCGACCACAATCACCTCATCTACAGCCGCGAAGGTGGTGGGTCGAAAGGGTTCGCAAAGATACAGTTTGCCAGGTCAGAAAATGATACAATTAAAACAGGATGCATCAGATTGGCTGCGTGAGATTGTTTCGTCGTTTTCGTTACGCTGCCATCGTTGTATTATAGCTACTTTGCCTTCATCTGGGTGCCTTCGATTCCTTATCTGGGTTGTATGAATACATTAGCATTTCGTTGGGGTCCAAGTCTTCATTCTTCAATTGGAACCATCTGGATTCAAAACAATCTACATGCGCCAGAATTAGAATTAGAAGCTACGTGCGCTGCAAATTAGCATACTATACGGGACAATCACACGACGAAACATTGCTTTGTTTTGTATGAAGTACTTTGTTTACTCAATGGATCGTGGAGCTACGACTACATTTAACAGCAATTACTCCGATTTGAACTGAATATCAATTAAGTGATGCTAACTGGGCTGCTGCTGAAGGTCCTGGTCGGCTGTTCAGTGAGTGGACGTTACGGCCTTTGTAAGCCGTGAAAGAGGGTGGCACTGGTTTCCATTGGCTAGTCCATGGCACTGGTTTCCACTCCACTCCATTCCACTTCCTCGCATGACCGTCTGCGGTTTGCGCGCGCTCCCGACTCTGTGTGGCGCCCGTGATTACGCTCGCTATGGGGTCAGTGGAACGCATGGTGGGCGAGGACATGACCGCTCGCTGTCATGTCCATCCTGTTGTTGGGTGTCCATTAAAAAGATTTAAACTGCTGTTGTCATTTGGGCGCGAAATGGCCGTTGCAGTCGTTGCGCCCTAAAGCATCAATAAACGACAGCTCATAGCTGTAGTGCTCGCGACGTTTTCCGATAATTGCCACGCCTGACTGTGGAATATGTGGTCGTGAAACTGAGCTCGACTATTTTGGTGCCCATTGCTATGAAATACTTCGTTTCAAATTACTAAACCAGAAGTAGTTTTGAATAATAGATAACGCGCTGAGATTGGTAAGAGGTGGTGCCTCGCAGCCAGCGATAGGCTGTTTCTCAGCTGGCGGGTGCAGTTTCCACCTCGTTTCCCTTGTCGCCTGCGATGTTCCACCCGCGCCTGAACCTTAAGCGCCGTGTCTTGCTGCAAATCCGGAGCGCCGCGACTGGAACTCCAATGAAGAGGGATGCCTCTCCTCTAAGCCTCTGTGACTAGCTGCTAATGCATACGGATGGTCTTCTGCATAATAAACAACGGCCCAAATACATAATAAGCTTATTCAAAGGCCAGGCGGACCAAGCTGGAGCTGTTATTCGAACGCACCTGTCCAGGAATTTCAAGCGTGAAGTGCCAAATGGGTGACCGCTGCCTGAGATATGAACAGCGCTCCGCCTGAGCTGCCGAATTAGAGCGGCGGCGGCCGCGGCACGCATGGCTCCTGCGTCGTTGATTTCGCGTCTGACATTTTCAGCGTAGACCCGCCGTGCGCCGGCTTCAACTACGTCCCCTCCTGCTGTCGCCAGATTCAACTACGCCCCCTCCCTTCGCCCTTCCGTCGCCGGCCTCAACTCCCCCGCCCACCGCCGGCTTCAACTGCCTTTTTCCCGCCGGCCTCAACTCCCCCGCCCACCGCCGGCTCCAACTACCTCTTCCCGCCGGCCGTAACTCTCCCGTCCACCGCCGGCTTCAACTGCCTCTTCCCGCCGGCCTCAACTCCCCCGCCCACCGCCGGCTCCAACTGCCTCTTCCTGCCGGCCTCAACTCCCCTGCCCACCGCCGGCTCCAACTGCCTCTTCCCGCCGGCCTCAACTCCCTGCCCGCCGCCGGCTCCAACTGCCTCTTCCCGCCGGCCCTCAACTCCCCTGCCCGCCGCCGGCTTCAACTGCCTCTTCCCGCCGACCTCAACTCCCCTTCCCCGTCGCCCGCCTCCGCCGCCGCAGGAAATTATTATTTCCCGCGCTGGCTAAGCATAAAGGAAGTGGGAACTCTGTGTCAGGTGACGCTGGCTTTTTGGGTGTCTGGGGCATCGACTCGCGTTCTCTGCAGTCTTCCCGGGAGACGCTGGTGTTCAGCCGTGCAAGTAGCGCGGCACAGCGAAAATATACTGAAGCCGTGGTGTCGGCGGGGAGTGACCTGGCTTGCGCTCGCCGTTATGGGCAGGTTTATTGTCTTTGCTCATCTCTTTGAGAGATGTCACGGAGTGCGCCACAGGCTCGACCCAAAGGTCTGGGGGATCTCACAGGAGCGTAAAACGTTCGGAAGTGGCCTAAGCGGTGGTTACGACGCTCGGCGGATTTCTTGTTTGGAACTTCTGTGCGCTGTTGTGCTTTAGCGACCTGCGGGTTATGGCATGGTGGGGCCTATCTTGCGCGTAGTAGTCTCTTAAGCCGATTGGATAGCCACAACTCGGCATTTCGATTGCATGGCATAATTAGCTCGATGTGTCCCCGTGTGGAGAGCTTCACAACGGTGCGTGTCTCACGGGGTGTGGTAAGCGGCGTAACCTTCTCAAGGAGCAGCTGGTTGTGCCACACGGAGTGCCGGCCGATATAGTAATTATCAGTTTGTGAAATCGGACACGCCTTCCGTCATCTGCGTTCCAGCGTTCCGTGCAGGTTGTGGACGCCGTGTGTATGCATGGGGATGGGTGGGCGTGCGCGGCCGTTTACCGGCTGTGGTGCACGTGTCGTCTGTTTTCTCACGGCCGCCGAGTCTACGTGACCCTCTCTCCAAAGCTGCGCATTGGCCTGCGGCGACGGCGGTACGTCCAGCGCCCCGCCGCCTTCCCCGCGACTGCACGCCCTCCACTGTTTGTATCGCAGTGCCTGTGGACGACCCTCTCCTGCTCCTTGTGACTTTGAATGAGCGTGATTGTTGCGGTCAGGGCAATTATCGCCGCGGTGTCGGTTGGTGACTCGTTGGTGCGATGTCGGCTTGTGATGTGGTGCGATGTGTTGGTGTGACGGAGCTCTGTGCCCCAGCCGGCGGCCGGACCCCGGCGCAGGAGGCGGAGCAGCTGTCGGCCACGTGCGCCGCTGCCGGCCGCCTGCTTGCGCTGCTCGCCTCGGAGCGGGCGGCGCCGCTGGCCGCGCGCGCCGCAGAGCTAGCCGCCGCCGCCGCCCGGCACCGCACCGTCAACGCCGGCGGCTGCTTCGAGTGGGTCGACAGCATGCTGGTCAAGGTCAGTCAAGGTCACGGCTGCCACGCTGGCAGCGTGTTGGTGTCGGGCGATCATGCCTGGTGTGCTATCCGCCGCTGGGGCGCGGACCTTGACACTGTTGGCCGTGTCGATGAGGCCTGGCGATCACGGAGCTGGCTGGGCGTCTGCGGCCGGACCGATCGCGGTCAGGGCCAATGAGAGGTGCACCAAGCCACCCACGGAGCTGGCTGGGCGTCTGCGGCCGGACCGATCGCGGAGCTGGCTGGGCGTCTGCGGCCGGACCGATCACGGAGCTGGCTGGGCGTCTGCGGCCGGACCGATCACGGGGCTGGCTGGGCGTCTGCGGCCGGACTGATCACGGGGCTGGCTGGGCGTCTGCGGCCGGACTGATCGCGGAGCTGGCTGGGCGTCTGCGGCCGGACCGATCACGGAGCTGGCTGGGCGTCTGCGTCCGGACCGATCGCAGTCAGGGCCAATGAGAGGTGCACCAGGCCGCCCCGTTGAGACCGCCGTAGTTTCCCCGCAGCAACGGACACTGGCTGATCGCAGCTCGTAGACTATCGTCTGGTCCTCGAAGGTCGCGCCGGCGCCGGGCACGCCGCTGCCGACTGGCGGTGGCGCCCCAGCCACCGGCCGATCACACCGGGCCGCGGGCGGCTCGTCCCGTGCCGCCCGCTCTCGTCGGCTCCGGCTCCTCCGGCTTCTCCGGCTCCTCCGCACCGCGTGGATCGCCCATTGATCCTGCGTCCACGGCGGCGGGCGCGCGGCGTTTTTGTGGTGGTGCCGGCGAGGCTGTCCCGGCTCGGGCCGGCGCTCCGCCAGTCGGCCCCGGATGGGACGTTTGTTTGCTCAGGTCATTTACCGGCGCGGCGCCGAGACCGGCGGCAGAGTCCGGTCCCGCTGACGGCGGCCCGCTGCCCTCCGGCGTGCGCTGGCGTTCGGCGTCCCTCACACCGGCACGCTCATTCGCGCGCTGCCAGTTGCATGATGTTTTTTTTCTGTCCGCCGCCTGTGTTGTTATGTGTAACGTGTCATTAGGTTATTGGCGTATTTCCCAGCGGCCTGGCCACGTGGCCAGTGGTGCCGCCGCGCCGCTGCTCGTGGGCGTGGCCGGACGCCGTTGTCCGCCCATGGGCGCGCCGCTGGCACCCTCATCTGATCAGCCCCCCCCCCCTTTACCACCACCCTCCCCCTCCGTATTGATGTGATGCGGAAAGTGAAAAACATGCGGCCGGCATGCCGGCCGGGGATAATTAGCGATGCGATTCATTAAGAACGTTTGGATTTTTCGCATGGACATTAAAAGATCTGTTGTATTATTTTTTTCTCTCGACGTGTCAGATGAGCAGTTCCATCTGCCTGCACCAAGGCCGTGCGTTGCGGCTCTTCACAGCCGAGTACGGGGGGGCTCCCGGTCAGCGGTGAGCGGCGGGCTGCATTTTACGTAGTCATGACACGCAGGCGCGCTCCGCGTGGCCGCAATGGTATATCTAGAGGATCTTCTCAGGGGCGTGGCTGGTGGTCGCGAGTCCTTGCCGGCTCCTGCCGCGCCTCACGGGGACCGTCCAGCTCCCCTGGTCCGCCACCCTGCGGGACGCCAGGTGGCGCCCCAGCTGCGGCTGGGACAGCCGGCCGCCTGGTAAACCAGTCTTGGGGCCCCGGGTGGGTAAATAACCTAATGGACTTGTCTATGTGGCAGGACGCAAATACCGGCGCGGCCGAGCCCCTCCATTTCTGAGCGGCATGGCAGTGGCCAGCGTCTGGGCGTGAGATATGTGTGCAGTGCGCGCCCGGGGGGGGGGAGGGGAGGGGAGGGGGGGGGGGGGGTCGTCGGGGAGCACCTGAGCCGCGGCGGCCTACCTTTGTTTCGGCTGTCGCTCAGCGGCCGGTGGAGGCAACGGTGCTCGACGGGACGGAACGTGTCATTTCCTGCCGGCGGTGCCCTGGGGATGCGGCCCCACGCCGCGGCTGGGCAGAGCGACCATCTGAGGGGACAGCCGTGCTGGCGTGTTCGGCTGAAGCCCCGGCACGAGGCCTTATGCACGGACCGTGTTCGTTCAGTAGGTCAAGTGGGAGGGGGATGGGGGATATGCAAGCGCCGGGCCAGGCATGGTCGCATCGTTCGGCCTTCCCTCTGAGCCCTGACCACGCCCTTGCTGGTTGCACCTCCGGTCTAGACCAAAATTCATCCCGTGTACCTCATCTGACCGGGTCTGATGACTGCCCCGCTGACGGGCTCATTGACTCGTCCGATGGGCTCATTGACCCGCCAGTGAGAGGCCTGCACAGTGCACGTGCCTCGCCCACGCGCGGTGTTTGTAAAAGCTGTGCGAGCGCCTGAACTTTTGCTCGAACATCAGTTGTGGCTGAGCTACCTGTGATGGAAAATTACTAATTCATTTCAGCGAAACCTGAGGGAGAGCAGATGCTAGACAGACCGTTTCCTAGGCGTTTAACTTCCCTCTGGCTTATCAGCGGCCACATAATAAATGTATGGAAAGACGTTCTGTTCCGTCCGCTACATTGGTAATGTTTCCCTGCTGCCCGCGCCCCCACCGGGCACGGACAGACCGGGCACGGACAGACCAGGCACGGACAGACCGGGCACGGACGGACCGGGCACGGACAGACCGGGCACGGACAGACCGGGCACGGACAGACCGGGCACGGACAGACCGGGCACGGACAGTTCGCCGCCTCCGCTCACGGCCCGTGTACCAGTTGGACGGACAGACCGGGCACGGACAGTTCGCCGCCTCCGCTCACGGCCCGTGCGTCAGTTGGACGTGCGGCGGGAGTTGGCGGCCCGTTTGGAATGCGTCCCACGCCGATCGACCCAGCAAGTTCCCTCCGCCGCCGGCCGCCAGCATGACCCGGTGTGCTGTGCGTGGCGATCAGGAACGGCGCGAGCTGCAGGACAGCCATCAGCCAGCCGGCGCCTGAGGAGCTGCGGCGCTGATTGACGACCGTCCACTACGCACACCACTTTATGGATGGCATCGCTCTTTGTAAGCGACGCCGAGTCACGGCTATGCGTAATGTACGCCGGTTCCTGTGTCATGGATAGACTGTGCTCTGTAAAGCATGACAAGAAACTTCCTCAGAAATAACTTATGTTAGCTGGTCAGGTGGCCGGGCGTGCTGTTTACACACGGCGGTGAGCCTGCCCAGCCGACAGTGACCTCTGCGAGGGTGGTGTGATCGGTGTGGGTGGGGATGGAGTGGGGTGGGGTGGGGGGGGGGGGAGGCGTGTGGGCGGAGCCTGCAGCGGTCCCGGTCCCGGGAACGACCGCTGGGATCGGCATGCCTCGCGCCGACGGCTCGGACTTGGCCCCGGAGCCGGCGCGCCTGTCACAAACACGCCTCCACACGCAAGAGCCCCTGTGGCAGTAAATTGTCGAGCTGGACAGCGCTGTGCCAGCACTGTGTCTGTAACTGGCCGCCGCCCAACACCAGTGACTAAAAAGTTATCTCTGATTAGCAGATTTCATTACAAGTGTGTTGTTTGACCTTGACCCATTTTGTTGAGATGTAAGTTGGTAATACACCTCTCTTTGGAAACAACTTTTTCGTAGGCAGGCCCTCCCCGTGGCCCATCTTTTATTGTTTGTGGTCTTGTCTTGAAAGATGCAGCCATGGGATTGTCGAGGTTTTGTTTAATAGTTTGTATCGTAAGTCGCGTTATGTAAATTATCATAGAGCTGGCGTCGTTCTATCTGCTTCGCTTCACCCTATCGAACTCTGACCTCAGTTATCATGTAGGAGTCGTGTGTTGCATTATTTACGTGTCGTTGCTTTGTACCAGTTAAAAGGCCGCTTGTTGAGGTTCACACACCCCACGCCGTTTCCACGACAAACTCTTATCTGACCCAAGCGACAGCGACCTGCGTCCATGTCCGCCCGAAATGTTCAGCATGCAGCTGGCCCCGCTCGTCACATCAGCATTTCACCTCCGGCTGGGGCGCCGGCGCATGTCCGGGTCGGGTCGGTCCAGTTGGTCCGCCGGCCCCGCAAAGGCGGCCGGCCGGCCGGCGCGCGCCGCTCGCCCGTGGAGACGATCGGCGCTGTTGTTCCGTTTGTGGTGTCGGGGGAAATCCAGTTCGGCCGGCCAATTGACTGATTTATTAAAGTGTTCTCGGCGAAAGTTAGTGGCGGCTTCGTCTGCCGGACACTGTGGTGTGACGTGCCGACTGACGCAACCGTTCGGAAGACCTTGGAGGCTCAGGATGTTGTGGCTCAGATCTGTCGAATAGCACTGTGGTCGCGCTGTTTTTCGGCCGGCTTGTGCGGCTCTCAACGCTCCGGCTTTTCCGCGCATTCATTATTTGAGATGGCGGCCTGCAGCGTGCCTGCCGCCATTAATTATCGTCCCAGGCGCTCCCAGTGTGTGGCTTCCGCAGCCAGAGCCCATCGCTCGACACTCCGTGTAAGTGACGCCGGGCGTGTTTTCTCTCATGGTTGATCGATTTCTCACGCGCTATTTGTCGCAGCGGTCCCGCACCGCGCCGCGTTCAGAGCCGGCTGTTGACTGCGCTGTTTGTCGCAGCGGTCCCGCGCCGCGCCGCTTTCAGAGCCGGCTGTCGACTGCGCTGTCGGCCTGTTTTCGGTGTGTTGCGGGCTGTGTTTGCCTCGTCCAGTCGTATTGCCGGTCCCAATGTTCCCCCGCCGGAGTCTCGTCCGAACGGCCACCGCGCTGTAAAAACGGCCGCTTTACGGTATGGCTTGGGCGATTGCCGCCGTCTGTTTTGCTCGGCCTGTTGCTTCGAGCAAGCAGTGCTGGGACCCCGCGGGCTGAGGAAGCAGGGATTCCAGGGCGGAGTGAGCTAGGACTCCTCGGCTGAGTGAGCTGAGCTTCCGGAGGCGGAGTGACCTGGGACCCCAAGACTAATTGTGCTGGGACCCCGAGGGTGAGTGAGCTGGGACTCAGGGGCCGAGTGAGCTGGGACTCCGTGGCTAAGTGAGCTGGGACCCCGGGGCTGTGTGAGCAATGATTTGGGGGTTGAGTGTGCAGGGACCACGGGGACTGTGTGATCTGGGACCCTGGGGGTTGACTGAGCTGGGGATCTGTGTGAGCTGGGGCTCCGGAACTAAGTGAGCTAGGGCCCCGGAGCTGTGTTGGCTGGACACGAGGAGTTGGTGTGTTAGTACGTGGAGGTCCTGTGCTGATGGTGTTCGGGGGTTGTTATATCTGGCCGCCAAGCTAGATTGCCGTAGGGCTTGGCTTGGCCAAGTCATCCGTTGTTTACGCCGCCTCTGTCGCTGCATTTGGCAAGGTTAGCGAATTGATGCTGCTGATGGCGCGCCTGTGGCCGGCAGTGACTGTGACTCCAGGTTCTGCGAGTCAGCAACCGGCTGCTGGTTGTGACTGTGCGGGCCGGCGACTGGCTGCTGGTGTGACTGTGCGGGCCGGCGACTGGCTGCTGGTGTGACCGTGACCGGCAGTGACTGTGACTCCAGGCTCTTGCGGGCCAGCAACCGGCTGCTTGGTGTGACTGTGCGGGCCGGCGACTGGCTGCTGGTGTGACCGTGACTGGCAGTGACTGTGACTCCAGGCTCTGCGGGCCAGCGACCGGCTGCTGGTGTGACTGTGCGGGCCGGCGACTGGCTGCTTGGTTGTGACTGTGACCGGCGGTGACACTGACTCCAGGCTCTGCGGGGCCGGCGACCGGCTGCTGGTGTGACCTGTGCGGGCCGGCGACTGGCTGCTGGTGTGACTGTGACCGGCGGTGACACTGACTCCAGGCTCTGCGGGCCGGCGACCGGCTGCTGGTGTGACCGTGCGGCGGCCGGCGACTGGCTGTTGGGTTGTGACTGTGACCGGCGGTGACTGTGACTCCAGGCTCTGCGGGCCGGCGACTGGCCGTTGGTGTGACTGTGACCGGCGGTGACACTGACTCCAGGCTCTGCGGGCCGGCGGACTGGCTGCTGGTGTGACTGTGACCGGCGGTGACTATGGCTTCAGGCTCTGCGGGCCGGCGACTGGCTGCCGGTGTGACTGTGACCGGGCGGTGACTATGGCTTCAGGCTCTGCGGGCCGGCGACTGGCTGCTGGTGTGACTGCGGGCCGGCGACTGGCTGCTGGTGTGACTGTGACCGGCGGTGACACTGAATTCAGGCTCTGCGGGCCGGCGACTGGCTGCTGGTGTGACTGCGGGGCCTGCGACCGGCTGCTGGTGTGACTGTGACCGGCGTTGACTGTGACTCCAGGCTCTGCGGGCCAGCGACCGGCTGCTGGTGTGACTGTGCGGGCCGGCGACTGGCTGCTGGTGTGACCGTGACCGGCGGTGACACTGACTCCAGGCTCTGCGGGCCAGCGACCGGCTGCTGGTGTGACTGTGACCGGCGGTGACTCTGACTCCAGGCTCTGCGGGCCGGCGACTGGCTGCTGGTGGACAACGTCAACTTCTGCCCGGCCTCGGTGCTGGACCGGCTGAATGCGCTGCTGGAGCCGGGCGGCGTGCTGGAGCTGAGCGAGCGGGGCGTGATCGATGGCCTGGTACCCACCGTCCGGCCGCACCCTCACTTCCGGCTGCTGCTGGCCATGGACCCGCGCCACGGCGAGATCTCCAGGTCAGTGAGGTGCGGGCCGGCCGGGCCGCCAGCGCTCGGGTTGCACCCTTGTGGACGTCAGGAGCTGGGCCCCGCTGGAGCTGACGGACACCGCTCAACGCTAGCTGGGGTAAATATCGCCCATCTGCCGTGCGGTAACTGCGGTAGGGATAGCGGCGGCTGCGCTCAAGCTCGGCAGCAGTAGCACCATATGGGGCATGCGTTGGATTATGAACTTATACGTTCTAGTTGTTGCAAGTGTGGTAATAACCCTTTTCCCAAATATGCCCATTTCCTCTCCAAATATAGAACCAAATGAGGTCTAACTCCAGCATCGACGCGTGAATAATTGCGTCAGAAATAACGCTCTCATCTACCATGCTGTCATAATTACCGTTACGCCATCATCATCGGTACAGTTATGCCATAGCACCACGCATCACCGGCAATCATCGTCAGACGCCCTCGCTGATGAGGTCGTCCGCTGTCGTCGGCAAGAGCGGTGTGCTGCTCTGCTGATGGCGACTGGCGAGAAGCTGTGCAAAGGGTGCTACAAATAGAATCACTCAGCGTTTGATCGGATTGCAAGGCCGAGGGAGGATTGTTACGTTGCGATTAGGAACGTCATGACATCGCCGCTCTTTCCTATGGTACGGTTTTTCGGTGTATGATCTTGCCTACGCTGCATTTTGTCCTGCTCGCTTTGACCTCACTATAGCGGGCTTTATGGATCGTCATGAACGTGTGTTATGTTGAGGTCAGTAGCAATAGGTCAATAGACGGCATTGGTGCCGACTTTACGGCGCAGTACATGCCATGGTGGTATGGCGACGGGACCCGAAGGCCCACTGCACACGGGGCTGGGTCCGTCGTTTGGCGCTAGTCTGCGCTGTAGAGCGTTTTCTTTCGCAACGTGAAACGGAAAGTTGCGGAAGTTTTCTGGCCCGCCTGATCGTCACCTATTTTGAAGAAATCACACGCGCTCGCAAAGCTCTATTGTCATAAGTTTTAGGGCACTGCCTTTGATTACCTGCACAGCAATCATCGCGTTCTTACATACATATTTATCAACGTGTTTGAATGGGTGGCTACATTTCACATCACCACCTACTTAAGACAGAGTGTGTGTTGGTTGGCCCTTATCGGCTGGAGCTACAAACACACATCACTCTGATAGTTGATGTTTGTTTGGGCTCAGCGGCGCCGGCTGTGCATGCCAGTTGACTTAGTTCGCCTTTTGCGTTATAAGTGACTGAAAATACTGGCCCAACTGAGTGTTGGACGTTAAAGTTTATCGGATGTTCTTGTTTGTTCACGTTTGTGTGTATTTCTTAATCCGGCACGTGTGACGGCTAGTGTGTGTGTGTGGGGGTTTGGCAGCTCTCTTTCCAACTGTAGGCAGAGTTGTGGCGTCATACAAACTTTGATGAACGCTGAAGGAAGTTCCCAGGCTAGTGATGACATGACAATTGGAGTCTGTGCAAGCAAAAGGCGGTTTGTTAGCCGAAATTCTCGAACGACTGTTAATTGTTGCCGTATAATAACCCTGACTTCACATCATGATAGCTTCCAACCATCGAATTTATCGCGCAATACCGTCTGTATTTTGATTTAGGGGCCATCATTCATGCGGTAAATAATAGCTCCGGAAGGTTGCATCCATGCGTTGGGAATGTGCGGTAGAGCATTTGTTGGCTGCTGCCGCGCGCGCCCGGCCGCGCGCTCAGCTGCGGCGCCCCCGTGAGCGGCCGGTGCTTCCGTGGACCGCCTGTTCATGTGCGGCCACAGTCGCCTGAGCGACGGAGCTCTAGTGCCGGAGCGTCGGCACTGACGAGTGACGTGGCGAACACGGCCGTGGTGTCGGCAACGGTAGACATTCGGCGCGGCTCTCCGCCGGGCCCAGTGCCGTCACGGACTGGCAGCGCGTCGGGCGGGCACCTCGCCGCCGCCTGCCGCGCGTGCGCCGCCCCGGCGCGTCGTCTTCGAGCCGCCTCGGGAGGCGTCTCGGTCAACCGGGCGCGGCCGCGTGCCGGTGGCCGTGCGGCGGCGTCATCGGCGGCGGCGCGCCCCAACAGCCGATGCTGCGTGATGTGACGGATGGCGGGCCGGCCGGCGCGCTCCTCCACCGCCCACGGCGGCGGTGCGGCCCGCCACCATCACCACCGGCCGCTGCCGCCGCCGCTCCCGGGGGCCGGCTCGGTGACAGCGGCGCCCAATTAGGTGACGCCAACGGAAAACAGACCCGGCTGCCGCTCCGGCAGGCGGCCGCCGGCTGGGCCGAAGACGGCGCCACTGGCGGCGCACTATGCTAATCGCGGCGCTGCTTGTGTCGGGGGGCTTACCCGGGAAGCGGGCTCGGGACCGGGGGAGGCCGGGAAGCGGGCTCGGGGACCGGGGGAGGGCACCCGGGAAGCGGGCTCGGGGACCGGGGGCGTACCCGGGAAGCGGGCTCGGGGACCGGGGGGAGCGTGCCCGGGAAGCGGGCTCGGGAACCGGGGGAGGGCGCCCGGGAAGCGGGCTCGGGGACCGGGGGAGCGTACCCGGGAAGCGGGGGCTCGGGAACCGGGGGAGGGCACCCGGGAAGCGGGCTCGGGGACCGGGGGAGGGCACCCGGGAAGCGGGCTCGGGGACCGGGGGGCGTACCCGGGAAGCGGGCTCGGGGACCGGGGGAGGGCACCCGGGAAGCGGGCTCGGGGACCGGGGGGCGTACCCGGGAAGCGGGCTCGGGGGACCGGGGGAGCGTACCCGGGAAGCGGGCTCGGGAACCGGGGGGAGGGCGCCCGAGAAGCGGGCTCGGGGACCGGGGGAGGGCATGGCCCGCTGTGGCGACCCGCCGGCTTCAAGCGCTTAGTCGTGTGTAGCGACGGAAGGAGGTGCATCGCATACGTTGCCGATGCGGAAATTACACAGAGCGGGTCAGATGTTTCTTTTCAAGGCAAGGTCTATGCACTATGTGTTAGGACCGGATTGATTGGTATGACATTAGCTGATTTTGTTATGGTTCTCATTGAAATGATGGCCGCCCTCGGTGCCCTTTGCGGCACAAAGCGCTTTATCCCATTTATATGTATTCGTATTCATTCCTTGACATTCATTGGCTGTGTAAATGTTGCGAAGAGGAGTGAACGATGTGCTGCCTGTGTACTTCGAAAATGCATTCCAGGCTTCTAGAGTGGGCAGCATTGGAATTTGAATCCGTGCTAAGCCGAGCCGGTGTGTTTATGGCGCAAAAACACCAACTGGTCCTAACTGTACATGCGATTGTTCTGCTTTGTTCGCTCAACCATTCATTTCAAGCATTGCCTGCGCTCTTCCGGCGTCAAGTACAAGCCGAATGATTGTCCACAGTCACAGAAAAGCAAAGGCTAAGCTGCGTTTGACGCGGTTTTGTTTGAACACCTTGTAGTTCGCCTGACCGCCAGCCTGCATCAGCAGACGCCAACAACGCCGTGTGACGTCCCGCCGGCCGGTTTGTCGTTGTGGCGCTGCTCGTCTGACCTCTCTCTCCTCTCGCCCTGGTGACCGTGTCGCCGCGGGTCTTACCTCTCCCACCTCCAACCCTGGTGACCGTGTTAGCGCTCGTCTGACCTCTCCCGCCTCCAACCCTGGTGACCGTCTCACCGCTCATCTGACCTCTCCCACCTCCATCCCTGGTGACCGTCTCACCGCTCGTGTGACCTCTCCCACCTCCATCCCTGGTGACCGCCTCACCGCCCGTCTGACCTCTCCCACCTCCAAGCCTGGTGACCGTCTCACCGCTCATCTGACCTCTCCCACCTCCATCCCTGGTGACCGCCTCACCGCCCGTCTGACCTCTCCCACCTCCAACCTGGTGACCGTCTCACCGCTCATCTGACCTCTCCCACCTCCAAGCCTGGTGGGCCGTTTCACCGCTCATCTGACCTCTCCCACCTCCATCCCTGGTGACCGTCTCACCGCTCGTGTGACCTCTCCCACCTCCATCCCTGGTGACCGTCTCACCGCTCGTCTGACCTCTCCCACCTCCAAGCCTGGTGACCGTCTCACCGCTCATCTGACCTCTCCCACCTCCATCCCTGGTGACCGCCTCACCGCCCGTCTGACCTCTCCCACCTCCAAGCCTGGTGACCGTCTCACCGCTCATCTGACCTCTCCCACCTCCATCCCTGGTGAACCGTCTCACCGCCCGTCTGATCCTTGCCACCCTCTCCCTGGTGACCGTCCTCGTCGCCCGTCTGACCTGTCCTATGTTCTGCCCTGGTGACCGTCTCGTCGCCCGTCTGACCTGTCCCATGTTCTGCTCTGGTGACCGTCTCGTCGCCCGTCTGACCTCTCCTACCTCCATCCCTGGTGACCGTCTCACCGCCCGTCTGATCCTTGCCACCCTCTCCCTGGTGGCCGTCTCGTCGCCCGTCTGACCTGTCCTATGTTCTGCCCTGGTGACCGTCTCGTCGCCCGTCTGACCTGTTCCCATGTTCTGCTCTGGTGACCGTCTCGTCGCCCGTCTGACCTCTCCCACCTCTCGTAGGGCGATGCGGAACCGCGGCGTCGAGATCTACATGCTGGGCCCGGAGGAGGGCGGCGGGCTGAGTGAGCTGGACCTGGCGGCGCTGCTGGCGCGCTGCCACCTGACAGAACCAAGGCTGCAGGCCACGCTCGGCCGGCTCCACGCCGCCGTCCGAATGGAGACGGCCGGTGAGTGACGATGCCGACGCCAGAGACGCGCCGGGGAGCTTTGGCAGGGCAGGCGGGCAGCGCGACAGCTGTCGGACCCGATGGCCCATCCAAATAACTCCTAATGCACTTAAGCGATGGCTTCACGGATTTGCGCTGACGTTTGGCTGACGCCTAAATGCTTGTCCGACCGAAGTATGAATCGCTTTGGTCAGCATTTGTGATAGCAGATCTGTAGACGGTGAGCCCCGGTACTGGACGCGCGAGGGCTGGGGCGTGGCGGGGGCGCCGTGGCAGAGCTGAGTTAGAGTTACGATCCCCCGGCGGGGCGAAGTTGTTCCGTTCGCCCCGTCCGTCACACTCAGGCGGAATGCCGCGCCGCGCGCCATTATTTCGTCGGCGTTATCGCCGCTGTCGGTTCGGATGGCGCGCGCTGTGTGACGTGTCATTGATCCCGCCCCGGCGCCGGCGCCCGAAGCCGCGAGGCCTCCGGCCGAGGCTTCGCCTGGCCGAGGCCGCCGCACGGGCTGTCGGCGACCGCACCTGGCCGCCTGACGGACGACTGGTCCGCCTCTCCGGCGGCTGTGTCAGCTGACGTGCACGCCTTCAGCAGTGGCGGGGACTCACTTATTGGAAAGTGGCTCGCTGTGGGCTGGGCGTCGCAGCCGCTGGTGTCGATTGTCGCGATGGCGGGGGCATGGTCCGGTGCTACTCTGACAGTCTGCTGCTGGCTCACCTCTGGCCATGTGTAGTCGGTTCGTCAGCTGTCGTCCTTGGCTGTTCCACCCAGCGTCTGTTGTAGCGCTGCCACTCATCTGTCCGTGGCACGTCCAGCTCTTACCGTCTTCGGTTGTTCCACCTCCGACTGCATGTAGCCGACCGTCTGTAGCTGATCCACCTCTGACCTGTACCTGGTCCGCCTCCGACCGTTGGTGCCTAGTCCACCTCACCGTCTGTACCTGGTTCACGCCTGACCGTCCCTGGTCCACCTATGACTCTGTACCTGGTCCACCCCTGACCTGTGCCTGGTTCACAGCTGACCGTCTGTACCTGTCCCACCCCTGGCCGTCTATGCATGGTCTGTCCAACCCAACCTTGGACCGCCTCCAGCTGGTCCACCTGGTCTTACCTCCCCCGGCTGGTCCAGCTCCGAGCGTCGCTGGCTGTTCTTCCGGCGGCCTCTGCATCTCTGACCTCCTCCGGCTGGTCCAGCTCCGAGCGTCGGTGGCTGCTCTTCCGGCGGCCTCTGCACCTCTGACCTCCTCCGGCTGGTCCAGCTCCGAGCGTCGCTGGCTGTTCTTCGGGCGGCCTCCGCACCTCTGACCTCCTCCGGCTGGTCCAGCTCCGAGCGTCGCTGGCTGTTCTTCCGGCGGCCTCTGCACCTCTGACCTCCTCCGGCTGGTCCAGCTTCGAGCGTCGCTGGCTGTTCTTCGGGCGGCCTCTGCACCTCTGACCTCCTCCGGCTGGTCCAGCTCTGAGTGTCGGTGGCTGTTCTTCGGGCGGCCTCTGCACCTCTGACCTCCTCCGGCTGGTCCAGCTCCGAGCGTCGGTGGCTGTTCTTCCGGCGGCCTGTCACCCAGATCCGTAGCCCCGAGCCTTGAATGCTGTCCGGACACCGCGACAGCCGGTATAATTACCCCGTCAGGGAGCGCCGGCCGGTTCGGCAGGCCGGCCTTCAGTCGCTGCGCCGCGGTCGGTGTGGTGATGACGGTCCGTCGGCAGCGGCCTGTCCGGCCGGCCATCTGCGACGCTCCCTGACTGCTCGGCACAGGGACCAGCGGCCATCTGCGGCGCTCCCTGACTGCTCAGCGCAGGGACCAGCGGCCATCTGTGGCGCCCTCTGACTGCTCGGCCTGACTGCTCGGCGCAGGGACCAGCGGCCATCTGTGGCGCCCTCTGACTGCTCGGCACAGGGACCAGCGGGCCATCTGCGGCGCTCCCTGACTGCTCGGCGCAGGGACCAGCGGCCATCTGTGGCGCCCTCTGACTGCTCGGCGCAGGGACCAGCGGCCATCTGCGACGCTCCCTGACTGCTCGGCACAGGGACCAGCGGCCATCTGCGGCGCTCCCTGACTGCTCGGCGCAGGGACCAGCGGCCATCTGCGGCGCCCCCTGACTGCTCGGCGCAGGGACCAGCGGCCATCTGCGGCGCCCCCTGACTGCTCGGCGCAGGGACCAGCGGCCATCTGCGGCGCCCCCTGACTGCTCGACGCAGAGACCAGCGGCGTCTGGGTGCCAGCGGCGCTGACTTGCCTGGACTTGCAATGTGGGTGAAATGGCGAGCGGAGCTACTAAGTGCTGCTTCAAGGCCGGACGGGACATTCACCCGGAGCGGGTTGTATGTCAGATTGGACGCGAATTGCGCGTTTAAGCGCGCGGCGGAGGCAAAGTGCAGTAATGTCAAAAGTAGACGTGCTCGCACTGTCTGTTGACTTACTTTCTTATATGTTTTGGAGCTGGTACGAGCGCCAGTGACGTGCGTCCTTGACTATATATTTATATTTGACACTGAGGATATATATATTTGACACTGAGGAAACACCACGTGGAGAGGCGAACTTCGTCACACAATGCACACAAACAAAGGTTTCGTTCATCTTTGAATGTCACTGAATTGCTCACACCTCCGTTGAATCCAGGCCATGACTGCCCAGCTCAGTGACTAGCCTGGTCACCACTGTTACATTGTCACATTGTTGACAATCGCGTCACCAGTGTCAGGTCGGACGTAAGGAGTTTCAGAGCTCGGCCGGTCATGCTGCCATGACAGTGCGTAACGCTCAGAATCCGGATCATTTCTCAGTCCAAATGGTTCAGATACATAGTCGAGAATTGCTCGAAAAAACAATGAAATGGATCACACCAGTGAAGTGAGATGCCCTGCTCATGACTCCCCGTCGAACAATGCCACTCTCCCCATTCCCCCCCCCCCCCCCTCCCCTCGCTAGTCCAGGCTTGGTACCTTGTTTGTTCAGGATGAAGGAACGCTTTTTGGTTGAGCATTTCCACGTGGCAGAGCACTAAACGGCTGGTTACAGAAATTGCGAGGTAAGAATTCCGGTGGAGTTATCAAGCACCAGTCAGCAGCCCAGGGATAATTTGAGGGTAATGAAGCATGAAGGCAGCAACGAACTTGGCGAAAACTTGCCGGCAAGTTCCGTCCCGTACTGCTGTTGAGGATTGCCGGTTTCAGCGAGTTAGCCTGTATCCAAATCGCCCAAGACAAACTGTCTGTTTTTGTGTGGGCGTTTGTCTCCGGAGCGGGATGGGCTTTGCGTGCTTTTGATGCGGCGGTGTCTGGGTATTATGATCAGCGTGATCTTCCATGTTGAACGGGGCGTTGCTCGGGGATGCATTTGGAAAATGGTGTTGCCCATAGAAATGGATGCAATAGCTCTCCGTAATCGCTCGCTTGGGAGGAGAGGTTAACGAGACTTTCCCATCCTGGTGCCGCTCTAAAATCCCTGAATTGGCTCGTTTAGACAACACTCCGGCGTTGCGCGCGCCCTAGCGCTGTCAGAACTTCGGAAAACGCACACTGTTGTCGCACACGGACGCGTGCTGCACCGCGCTGTGCCTGCTGTGTGTCGCGCACCGGAGGCCGTGAACGGCGGTGTCTCCGCGCTGTGCCGGGTCCGCGAAGCAGGGAGCTGTCGCCCGCTGTGTTCCGGAACCAGAACACTGGAGCTGAGCCACTGTTACACGTGCATCTGATGTCGTTCGCCGCTGTGTCTCCGCTGTGCTGTGCAGCTGACGCCGCTGGACGCTGCGTCTCCGCCGTTCCCGCTGTACCGTGTACCTGATGCCGTTATCTGCTGTGTCTCCGCTTTGCCGTGCACCTGACGTGTTAGCCACGGTGTCTGCTATGGCCGTTGCACCTGACGCCGTTAGCGGCTGTCTCCGCTGTGCCGTGTACCTGACGGCCGTTAGCGGCTGTCTCCGCTGTGCCGTGTACCTGACGCCGTTAGCGGCTGTCTCCGCTGTGCCGTGTAACCTGACGCCGTTAGCGACTGTCTCCGCCGTGCCGTGTACCTGACGCCGTCAGCGGCTGTCTCCGCTGTGCCGTGTACCTGACGCCGTTAGCGATTGTCTCCGCTGTGCCGTGGTACCTGACGCTGTCAGCGGCTGTCTCCGCTGTGCCGTGCACCTGACGCCGTCAGCGGCTGTCTCCGCTGTGCCGTGTACCTGACGCCGTTAGCGACTGTCTCCGCCGTGTCGTGTACCTGACGCCGTTAGCGACTGTCTCCGCTGTGCCGTGTACCTGACGCCGTCAGCGGCTGTCTCCGCTGTGCCGTGTACCTGACGCCGTTAGCGACTGTCTCCGCTGTGCCGTGTACCTGACGCCGTTAGCGACTGTCTCCGCCTGTGCCGTGTACCTGACGCCGTTAGCGACTGTCTCCCCCCGTGTCGTGTACTGACGCCGTTAGCGACTGTCTCCGCTGTGCCGTGTACCTGACGCCGTCAGCGGCTGTCTCCGCTGTGCCGTGTACCTGACGCCGTTAGCGGCTGTCTCCGCTGTGCCGTGTACCTGACGCCGTTAGCGACTGTCTCCGCCGTGTCGTGTACCTGACGCCGTTAGCGACTGTCTCCGCTGTGCCGTGTACCTGACGCCGTCAGCGGCTGTCTCCGCTGTGCCGTGCACCTGACGCCGTTAGCTGCTGTCCGCTGGCCGTATGCCGCGCCGGACTGCGGCTCCGGCTCGCCGTCACCCACCCTGAGTCTGTGTGGCGGCGGTTGCAGGCGCCAGCCGGCCCGGCTTGCTGGACCTGCTCCGCTGTGCCGACCTCGTCAGTCAGCTGGCGGCACGCGGCGTCGACCCGGAGGAGGCGCTGCTCCAGGCCGCCATGGACACCTACGTCAGGTAAAGTATTGACGTATGCCGTGCTACCATGTTAGTGGAAGGAAGCAAATTTTCCTTTGCGGGTGCGGTTGCGAAGCGTGCGAAAGGCTAACAATCAGAACACTGGGAGTGTAGTAACTCTAAGGTGTGCATTTCTTCCACCCACGCGACAGCTGGGCGGGCGATGGACTAGTGCCACTGGTAGGCTATAGTGCGGAAAGCTGATTGAGTTCTTGGGAGTCTGCTGGCTTATGATGTCCGGTATCCTTGAAGGCCTTTCCATGGTTATTGGCCTGCGCCCTATGTATCAGATGACCGTATGGGGTGGGTGGGTGGCTCTGATAAGGCCGGGGAGGGATGAGGCTCAACAGACGTCCCGGCGATAACTCCCCTGCCCTGTGGTCATACCCACCAGTGACAGGCCGCTGATGGCTTCGGTCCGCAACAGCAGCGCCCCTGAGAAGCGGCCGGTAGGTCCGGGCGCTTGATGCATAGATGTTTGCAATGGATAACACGATAAGGGCTGGAACCAAGGCTATAAAGGAATGTCGTTTTGCGGCAGGATTGAGACGATTTATAAGCATCAGGGATGAAAAAAGTGTTGGGACTGAAGTTATTCTCATTCACTGCACGCCAACGCCTGACAGCGACCGAAGGTTAACGGGCTGAGACGTTGTGTACATGCTAACGCACCAGACGAACACGATGCTCCTGACAATTTTTCCATCCATGATGTAAACGAATATGTTGTGAACAAGGTAAAAGTCCTTAGGTAAGTTTTATCTAGTGACTGCGTCATGAACCGGAACCTCGAGCTTTCGCCCAGCCCTCGCCCCCCCCCCCCCCTCAACAAACTTTCTGTTGTGTTGCTCTATTTGTTGTAAACTGCTGTTTACCTGATCTGATCATGCCCCCCGATTCTCCCGTTGTCGCATTTGCACACCTCAAATTACCGAACACTGAGTATGAGTACAAAATATCGCAGGGGTGACCTTCCTTCAACCCAAATCATCAGCAGTACGGCCATCGCGCCATCGCGCCGGCTGGTCCGACTGCGGCTATTTGCTGCCAGTTCAGTCCGCCCGCTGGAAGACCCCGCTGGGCACAGCCGGCCGTGTGCGCGGGCTCTCCCGGCGCGCCGCTCTGGTATGCCGGCCGGCGGCGGGGGCGGCGATCGGCGCGTGTCTTGACGCTCAAACACACGCAGACGCGGCCGCTGGGGAGCGCCGAAATCAGCCGAGTACATCACGGCCGGCGTCACCTGGTCGCCTCCGCCGGGCGGCGTCGTTCGACGGCGCCTGATTAGATCAGGGCCGGCTATACGAGCGCGCCGCCGCCGGCGCCCGCTCGTCCGCTCGATCGGTTTGTCAGCGGCGGACTCCACCGGCCGGCACGTGCGCCACTTACACACCGCCGTCTCCGGCGCCGCCGCTGGCCGGTGCCGTTCTTCAGGCATTTATATTTCAAGGGGCGTCGTTGGATCGGGTGTCGCCGTTCTCGTCGGCCGGTGGTGCTGTCGTCGTACGTTGGCCATCAGCGGCGCCCGCCAGCGCGGCCGGCTCTGTTTCTCCCTCTCTCCCTTTCTCTCGGAAACAGGGCGCGAGTCGCCAGAAAGCCGCCGTCGGCTCTGTTCGACGAGGCCATTGTTCTCGGCAACATGTGAAATCGCTTACGCGTGTTGCGATTTTAAAGGCGTTGCGGTTGTCTGCGATGCTGGCCAATTCTGGACGCGCGCTATCCGGCTGGGGAGACTAAACACGGTATTGCTCTCTTGGGACGTGGGAGGCCTTGGTTGGTTGCCGGGAGTGGAGAAGAAATGGTTTGGGGCGGCTTAAACTGAAACGCCCCATTTCGGAGTTACTCACACGTGCTCCCAACGGCGCGTGTGTAACAGTGCGTCCGGTCTTGAACTTCGGGGTCACAGCGGACCGTGGAAGGGCGCCATTTTCTTGGCCTTGCTCCGGAAAGAATGCGGTCCCTGCCATTTCGCAAACTTCCCTGAAGCGGCGAGCACTCCCAGAACGCCGACAGGCTGTATTTTCCTCGCAGCCCGAGTCGAGCTCGTGAAGGCTTCCCATCATCGCATCAGCACCATCGGGACGCATGTGTCCGCTCCAGCGCGCGGTTGTGGCAGTGTTGTGCTCTGAAGTAATCCCAGTCGCGCCCACGCAGCCCCGCGCGGATTGCGGTGCGGCTGCTGGACCGCCGCATCGCGTCTGCTCAGGGCCCCCATACACGGCTGGGCACGTACTGGTGGGCAGGGTAAGTGTGTCCGAAAAAGGCGTATCTCTGCATATTTCGAATGGGATCATTTGTGTGTCGCGGAGTCTGTTCTGGTAATATGAACCATGGTCGTGATTCGCCGTTTTTCATGGCGCTGACCGGTTGGGTGGGGGAGGGCGGGCGGATGTTACCTTCCTACTGCTTCCACAACCTAGAAACATGAGGCCTGCCACAAATTGTTGATTGGTTTGAATGGTAGTCTCGCGCGTGTATACATATATATATATATATATATATATATATATATATATATATATATATATAATATATATGATATGAGTCGGATGTTTTCAGGTCAACGGTTGGCTCCACTAGGTCAGGTCAAAGTTCGCTTTTCGTCAAAATCGATGCCGATGTCACGATGTCACGTGGCAACATAAAAATCACGCAGATGTGTTGCTTGCTTAATTGCGGCACATTTATATGAAGTGTTGTGTGTTTTTAGCATACATTAATGATGTAGGGCTGGGTTGATGTGACCGCATCGGCCCCGCCACGCGTTATCGGTGGATACGTCTCGGCTATCGTTCGCCCCGCGCAAGCCCATAGAGAACCGGGCAGTGCTTGTAAGGAAAGGTTAATACCAAGTCACCAAAAATGCCATAGACACATTTGTGTCGTTGCTTGAAGCAGGTCCCACCATGGACCATGCATTGGCTCCAAGAGTTTGGGCTTTCACTGGAGGGACGCTCTCAGAACAGCTTCGGGTTGTCGCCCCCCCCCCCCCCCTCCCTCCCCCAGCAGGGGAGGGGTTTAGTGGCGTGTAGTGTATAGCGTGTTTGGTATCGGTATGTGGTATGTCAAGCCTCTTCAATATGCTCGTGGTCATCCCTCCCGCTCCATGCATCCCAGCCGAGCGTGCCACGCGCCACCGTCCGCAGTGTGCGGTGGCGCCCTGCGCGGCCTCTGCCCGCCTCGAGCCGCGGCTCGGCACTGGCCGCCTCCGCTCGTCGGCGTGTGGCGGCGCACTCGGCCAGATGACTGGACATCTCTCAGGCGTTCGCCTCGGCTCCCGGGCCGACCTAAACACCCGGCCCCTGCCCGGACCGCGACGCGTCCGCCGGCGACATGCATTTTCCATGCAACTGCCGCCTGAATGTTGTATGAGATGACCAGAGCGCCACACCGCTGGCGGGGCGCGGGCGGGCCGGCCGGGCGGCGTCCGGAGAGGCTTGACTGTGGACCGCTGGCCGGCCGGCCGGGCGGCGCCCGGAGAGGGCTGACTGTGGACCGCGGGCGGACTGTCGGGGCGGCGCCCGGAGAGGGCTGTACTGTGGACCGCGGGCGGCTGGCTGGGTGGCGCCCGGAGAGGGCTGACTGTGGGACCGCGGGCGGACCGTCGGGGCGGCGCCCGGAGAGGGCTGACTGTGGACCGCTAGCGGACCGGCGGGACGGCGCCAGGTGGGTCAGCGCCCGGAGAGGGCTGAACGTGGACCGCGGGCGGCCGGTCGGCTGGATGACGGCGGCCATCAATGACGATGGTGGAGAGCTGGCTCGGGTGGGGTTTGACTGATAGCGCGTCTGTCTTTCTGAAGCCCGTTTTTGTTCTGTGTGCCGTGTGTGTGCGTGCGTGCGTGTGTATGTGTGCGTGGTCTACGGTTCTGGTTTCGGCATGTGTGTTGTTCCAGCCGACCGGCGCACGCGGCCGTACGCTGTGTGGTGCCGCCGCCGCTGACCGGCCGTCGGTGCCGCAGGCCGCAGATGTCGTCAGCTGTGCGTGGGCGGCTGGCGCGATGCTGCAGCAGCTGGCGCTGGAGGAGGCGCCGCCGCCGGCCGCGGTGTCGCTCTGCCCGGCGCTCAGCGCCGCCCCGGTCCAGCTGTACCGGCGAGACGCCGACCTGGCGCGCGCCCGCCAGCTGTGGGCGGCCGTGCAGCGGGCTGCTGCCGGCGGCGCCGGCCGCGGCCGCTCCTGCACGCCTATCGACACACTCTGGAGACGGCCGCCGAGCGCGGCGTGCTCCACATCACGGTACGGACGCGCGGCCACAGCAGCAGCTCTCCTCTGTAGCTGCTGTGGCCGCGGCGCCGCGCCAGTGACCGGGCTTAGAGTGTCGGAAGCGCTTGAAACTTTGCGCAAGACGAAGATCCTATCGTTCTCATGCTAAAAATGTGCGATTAGTGCGGATGAGAATGTATTAAAACTTTGTCACATCTTTCGTCGCTGCAAGAGCCGTGCAGAATCGTGCAGACAATGCAGCGGTGGGGGGGGGGGGGGGGCCAAAGGTGACCCAGTTCGCGGGATGTGCCAAAGGTGACCAGTTCGTGGGTGGGCCAAAGGTGACCCAGTTCGTGGGTGGGCCAGAGGTGACCCAGTTCGCCGCACCGTGCGTGACCAGTGATGGGAAGCACCCATTTCCCAGGAGATTTACCGCAAGTCCGGGACTGAAGTGCGCCTGTAACGCACTGTAACACGTGGTCTGAGTGACCTGGGTGTTTCCCGGCCGTAGAGGCGAGGCTGTGAAAGGTCTCGCGACTCCCTTTCCACATTGCCCGCCCGGCTGGGGGCGGTGTCGCGCGGCTCGCTCTGGGCGCGGCGGGCCGACCGTCTCCGGCAGCGCCCTGACACGCGCCCGGTCCGCCAGCGCGCGCCGCCAGCTCCGGCCAGCCGGCGCTGCTGCAGCTGGCGACGGTGGACGCGCGGGCCGTGCTGGCCAGCCGGGAGCGGCCGCCGGAAGCCGCTGGACGCCGACGCCTGCTGGCCGCCGCCTGCTGCTGCGCCTGCGCCTGGAGGCGGGCCCTGCTGGAAGAGTCGGACCATGTCTGCTGGACCGCGCCGCCGATAAGGAGGGCGTGGAAGCAGGCCTCCGTCTATGCTCTCTCGCTGGCCTTCGAGAAAGGTTAGGCATGGGGTCCGCCTCTATTCGTACTCGGCTCCGGCGAGGTTGGGTCGGAAAGAGCTGTCGGTCTCGCCGTCCATGCTGTTTGTGGCGTCCCGGTTGGGAACGCTGTTTCTGGCATTGCGAGTAACCAAAACCTTGCTAACGTTAACTCAGATGATACCGGGCAGCTGAACATTCGTTGCAGCATATTTATTTTGTGATTTGACGAAGTGCACCCTAATTTTGCTTGACGTTTAGTCATGCTGAGGTAACGTTGGCGCTGTGTTCAGAGTGCCTGGGGCGCTCCGAATGGTGGGGATACTCAGCAGTGTACAACAAAATGTCGGCTTGAGTAAGAGCTCAATGGCGGTGGTAAGCATGCTTCAGCTGTACTCGAGCACGCGTGAGCACAAGCAGTACTTGGGCAAGGAAGCTGGCAGACTTGTGCAAAAGTTCCGGTATCGATTGCAGATGCACTGCGATTGAGGTTCTCTTGATAACCGCGTCTTGTCGGCTCTTGGCTTTAAGTCTGACCACTGTTCGACTTATCGTCCTATCACCGCACGCCCGGGCGCCAGAGTGAGCGTGCCCCGGCCGTTCGCGACGCCTGCTGAGGCTGCCTTGTCGCCAGGCCTCGTCTCGAAGCGCGCCCTGCCGCACCCCTGCGTGCCGCTGCTGGCACCGCTGCTGCGCCAGCTGGACCTGGCGCTGGCGGCAGCGCTGACGGCCGAGCCAGCGCCGCCGCCGGCGCGCTGGTCCGCTGGCGCGCCGCTGCGCCCTGGCGCCGCCGGCTGCGGGCCGTCTGTGACCGGCGGCCAGCGCCCGACCAGCTGGCTGACTGGATGGCACTGCTGGTGCTGCACTGGCGCTGGGCGCGGCAGCGGCTGCTGGCAGAGCTGGCGGAGCTGACGACCGATACAGGCCCGAGCAGGTCAGAGAGGCCTCAGATCATGTTTGTGTTTGACATTTCGTTTTCCTGAGCCCCTTTACTGGGCGTTTTTTCTAGCCCTGTTTTATCGCGCTAGGTGCCTTTTGATGTTTGTGAATGGAATGGCATGGAGGACTTGAAAGCATTTCCCTGTTGATGCATACTCCGTGTGCCATCGTGCGTGTTCCGGTTTTGCGGTCATATGTGGGAGCGGCCCTCGGTCACGCGTAGCAGGGACTGGACGCCCCTGAGGCGAACATCTGCAGCGAGCGAGCGGCTGGCCTGCTGCTGGGCCGGATCGGCGCCTGGCCACCTAACCCGACCTCTGACCACAGCGAGCTGCGGGGCCTGTGCGCCCGTCTGGACGAGCTGGTCGGCGCCGAGGTCAGCCACGCGGTGCTGTTCGCCGGCCGGGTGGCGGAGAGCTTGCCCCGGCCCGCGGCCCTTCGCCGACCCGGCGACGGCCCGCCCTCTGCACGACCTCTGCCGGTAGGGCGCCGCCAGGCCGGGCGTGCATGTCTTTTGCCGATGGAGCCCATTAACTGCGTAGGTTTCGTTTCCCGTAAGCGCCTTTTTTTTTGCTTTACGACCTTGCAGCCCATCAGCCATAGCTCAGCCACCCGGTTGCACCGTCTTGAATCATGTGCCATTGCGGTCCAGCGTTTTCACCCTTCGCCAACTCTTGCCAGGTCCCATGCATTTCTGCCAGCACCGCGGTTGCCTGCAGTATTCGTTCCTATTCCCAAGCCGTGTATGGATTATCGTGCTTCCGTGTATGGAGCATCTCGCTCGCATTGATCGACGAGTTGGATCGCCAAATTGCTCCCGTCGCTTGCAAAAGCTGGCGCACCCTTCGATAGCCCATTATAACTTGTCGCTTCGCAAGTTCGACGTGTTTGTACGAAGTTCGGTTGTCATGGCTGCCCAACGTCTCATGTGTTGTCTAATCACGCTGGACCCCGGGGAGATTTGATACGAGGCTGGCTGTTTACGGTACTACCGCTCATCGACGGAGATCCCGGTTTTACGTTACGACGTAATGCGTCTGTGCCGCACTTTGGTGATAGAGTTTGCGGTCGGCTAGCTTGCCAGACTGACATTTTAATTAAACGCTGTGCCTGTAAATGATCTAATGCCATGAATATTGCGTCTATCGCAGGTGGTGATGCTGTTGGCACGGACCCGCTTTTAGCATGATCGGCGTCTACCGGCCGGAAAGGACGAGTTGGCTCTATCTTTGTTGGACCTATTGTGCGCAGTGTCATTCCTAGTACTGCGTTCCCGACGGACAAACTAGTACTTCCTGGCTGGGTTGCCGGTGGGCTTCAATTCTCGAGGCGCTCACGTACTGCGCCAGTCGCTGTCGGTGCCGTGCGGCTAAATTGTCGGCGCCGTGCGATTAGCTGTCGGCTCCGTGTGGTTATCTGCAGACGCGTGCGGTTAGCTTTCGGCGTCGTGGTGTTAGCTGTGGGCGCTTGTGTGAGCTGTTGGCACCGTGGTGTTAGCTGTCGGCGGGTGTAGTGAGCTGTCGGCGCCGTGGTGTTAGCTGTCGGCGCTGTGTGAGCTGTCGGCGCCGCGCGCTTAGCTGTCGGTGTCGTGTGGTTAGCTGTCTGGTGTGGCGTGGTTATCTGTCGGCACATTGCGGTCAGGCTGTCAGGGCCGTGCTGCCGTCGCCAGCGCGCTGTAAGCTGAGTGCGCTGTGTCGCCATCGGCAGCGTGTCCTGGGCGCTGTGAGCCGTACCTGTTCTCGCGGCCGACGGACTGCCCGCCGGCCGGACGCGCCGGCCCTGCTGCGCCGCCTGCTGACCTCAGCCGGCACCGCCAAACTGCGCCGCCGGCTGACCGATGCTATCCACCACAACGCTGCTGCACACGACACCGCTACTCGGAGCAAGGTCAGTGTGGCGCCGCTTGCCGCCCCCAATCGGCCTGGGATCTGCTTACTCTGCAGACGACACCGTCGCGCACCGACACCGACACCATTAAGCCTCCCAGAAGCATCTAGCTAATTGTTCTCGCATTCGTCCTCTCCGCTCGCTCTAACGAAGTCGGCAAATGACACACTTAATTTGCGGTGCGGCCCGACGCGGCCCGGCGGCGCCCTGCCGGCGGGCGGCAGCTTGTCGCGCCGCCGTGTGTATGGGAGACAGGCGGTTCGGGCGCGCCGCTGAGCGGATGCAGATTGCGTCGGCGGCGGCCGCACCGCGAGCCGGCCGATTCGCCTCGACTTTGCTCGCTACCCAGCGGCCGGCGACGCGGCGGCGCTTCCTCGGCGTGGGTATGTTAGCAGCTCAGCTGGGGAGGGGAGGGGTCGCGGCGCTGAATGCAGCCCGATCGGGCGCGGCGGTGACGAACAGCATCGCGCGAGGGCCTCGACACGGTCCTGCTCTGAGGAGGGGTATGTCAGGGGGGGGGGGGCGGGCTGAGCTCGCTGATGGGAACGCACGCTGCGGTGGAAGTAATTTCTGATGTGAAAGGGAGAGGGGCCTGCCATCGGACTCTAAGCGCGATGTAATTTTGGTGTTCAAAAAGAGACCTAGAATGTTCCATGCTTGGTATGTTGACCATTTTGTGTGTGCTGCCATATCACGTGTGAAGAGTTTCTGCTTCGTTATGCTGATGTATCGCTATTTTAGGAACGCGTGATCATTCAATGGTCTGATGCGGATGTACCACTTCGTCAGCGACGTGGCACATATGGTTTCAGGGGCGTGTTCGGTTTGTGACCAAAGCGGACAGAAAGCGGAGCGGACGGTGTGCCTGTTGCAGTGATGGCTTCTTTAGAATTGAAGCCCTTGCAAGCCGTAGCTCTTTACAAAGATCGTGGCCTTACCATCCCAGTAGAGGAAGTTCGCTCAATTCGGTTCAGATGTCTCCAGATAGTGTTCATAGTAAAGAAGACCGCTCACAGCCATCATATCATCAAGCTAAAAAATATGAAAGGATCAATTTTTGTCGAAGATTTTAGCGCACCGCTCAATGTTGCGGTACGGATGCGGCTGTTTCAGTCGGGCCATCCTGGCCAGTCGACAGATCGCTGTCAAAGACGAGCCACGCAAACGCGTGGTTTCCCGGCCGTGAACCGGCACAGTCGCTACGCATTGGCCCGCGTGTCCGACACTCCGCCAGCGGGGCGTCAGTGACGGGCTTCGGCGGTATTGATGCGGGGTGCCAGTGAACCCGCACGCTCACCTGGGGCGGTCGGATGTGAGAGAAGTCGTCCACGGGCAAGCATGGGTTCCGTTCATCCCGCCTCAGAAATACAACTTCTAAACGATGTCTTCTGTAATATGTTGAAAATGAAAACGTCCAGGAAGGTTTTGTTCAGGCGTGTTTGACTTGTCGACCTAGCTACGCGCTGCGCACAGCCTAGTGTCCTGTAGCCGGCGCCGGGGAGCAAGGTTGAATGGCTCTTAGTTGCCCGGAGTGGTCTGGCAAATGTCAGCTCTGCTGTCGCTGCGGCTGCCGGCGCAGCGTGCTGCTGCTAACCAGCGGCATGGCCGGAGTTCGGGGAAACGAAAAACACGGTCCGCAGGCGGGATCCCTGCTACCATCTGAGTATGTGTTGTGCTCAACTCGGTGCCCGGTTTATGCTGGCCCACCTTTTGTGTATTATTGGGGTGTCCCAGTCGTGCCCCCAGTGTCAAGATGC